GACAAGCACATTGATGTCGACCGTTTCTTGAGAGTCCCCGTTGAGTCGCCACCTACATGTGCCGGCGACGATGACAACCAGGTGCTTATCGGGGCAGTCAGTGATGACGATATGGCCGACTTGCAACGCGACGACCCAGAACACCGCGCCGTGATCGACCATATCGAAGGATCAGAAAGTGCAGTCCCTATGTCTTCTCCCGAGACCTGGCAAGCTTCGTTATTTGTCGAGGGTTGCTATTCGAATATAACTTCGAGTCTGCACTGCAGTATGGCTAATGGTAGTCCCAAGAGATCCCCTAGGAAGAGATATTTAACGGCTGCCACTATGAAAGCCTAAAAAATGGCGACCACTGCGTCTGCGTTCCGACCCTATTCTGGACGAACTGTTTCAAAATCCCAATGACTGTCGTTAAAAAAGAAAAAAAAAACATTCCTTGCACAGTGACATTTGAAAAGATCGGTTATCTTTTAAAAGCGGGCTAGTTGAACATGAATACTTTAAATCGAAAGAATGAGAAGCAGAGGACAAGCACAGGACAGGCACGTTCTTTCATTTAGCAACAACGTTTATTTTGGGCAGGAAAATTGCACCCTGAACGAGGTTACAGCTAATATAGGGTGATAAGAGGGAACGAAAGCTGAGGAATAAAGAGCGGGAGGAAGAAACTACGAGGCGCGGATAGAACTACAGTGATCGTATGGTTTCTTACGGGGAGTTGCCATATTTTTTTAAGTTCAGGCCTGATGAGTTCTATACAGAAATATTTATAGCGGCCTGAAAATTAGTTAAAGCGAAGCTTTTACGGAAATATCGGAGTGTTGATCGAACTTTCTGTCCACCTTCCACTTCGTTTGTCTTTTACGTATGTCGTATTGCAAGAAAATGAGAAAGCAAAATGAAGAAACAAATGCAAAAACAATGTAATTTTGTAAGCAAATTGTAACACGAAAGAAAAAGAAAAATTAAACTTTTCTCAGCTGTGTTTGGACATGTGTGTTTTTTGTGCTCCCTGTTCCTCATCTTTATGAATTATCATTGTAATTATTAAGCTGCAGTTGTTCCAGTGTAGTGACGTTTACATAATTAAAAACTACTGTTAGGCTGTACTTTAAATTTACAGTAATTTTTGCTTTCACATTGTTTTCAGTGATTGGACGGATGGATCAATTGAACTGCCATATTTAAAAATACCGACATTCAATAATAAAGAATCATATTTCTAGCTACAGTAACTTAGACATAATAAATCTGATCGATTCGATTTTAAAAAGGAAGTTAATATGCTTTTTTTCCTTATTTTTATGCAGTTTTTATTTGTCGCATTTAAGCTCTAGACCAATATAGAGCCGATCTCTGTGGCATCGCGGAATATGGTTTAAATTTAATTAAGTAGCCTAAGTATAAATCTTTGGGTAATTCAACAAAAATGGATCTTTCTTAAAGTAAAAATAAATTTTAATTATAGCAAACATCGAATCATTGAACCAGCCTTTGATTGCCGTTACGGTTCTTGTATCCCGCGAAGGTGGGAGGCGTCGCGCACTCGTAGTTTTCTTAATGTACAACATAACACTCAAATTTTTCTAAAGCAAGAAATGCGTTTTAACGGAGCGATCCTATTCTAAATTTTTGTGCTCCCGTGCATCCACCCGCGAGTATTCTGGTAAATTAGTGAGGAAATTTTCAAACCGTCAACCAACGACATGTGAAACTGCAATTTAGTCTCCGCGCTCAATTGATCAGAGAAACTGACGTCGCGTGACCTTGACAGCAAATCAGTTGGCCTGCTAAATTTAACAGAATTAACATTGTAACATGACATGACGTCACGAGATCATACATCAGTTCATTTTCCCACCTAGACTTGACTGGGAAATTTACATGGCTTGACCTCAGCCTACATGACCTATACACTAATTCTTTCCTCACAGAAGTTGCAAACACTACTGCAGCCAGGTAGAACGCCTAAGATCGTCGGGTTACCTTGATCGTTTTCTTCAAGAGGTGGCTGAAACGCTTGCTTTCAAAATGAAAACGGAAGAGGAGAAATCACAGGAACCAGGAGGGAAGTGTGACCCGCTGTTAGGCACTATACTCACAAGGTCTCGCACAACCTAAAAAAGTGGCGGCACGCTTTGATTTGCCGTTTGTGTTTGCTGCCCCTTTGACACAAGCTGTCCAGCCTGTGTAAAAAAATTAACAACAAAAGTGACGGAGGTGACGTTTGCAGAAAGAAACAATGTTGGGAAGTACTTTAAGCACATTATACTTAAAGTACTACTTCAGGTAGGTTTAGGACCCTTGTACTTTACTTGAAGTACAATATCTGGGTATGTTCTAGTACTTTACTTAAAGTATTCTTTCTCGGTACTTTCCGAGGAAAGTACAATTTCCAACTTCAAAGTAAATTCACCATATTTGGTTTGTTTAATTTGTATCATGAAATGATGCTTTGGCAACTACAAAGAAATACTGGGGGGAATATTCTACTTTCATCAGAAACGTGAACAGACGACGCATCGCTCAGTTTGTTTTGGGGGCGGCTTTCCCGTGATCTTTCTGAACTCTCGCTACTTCTCGGTCGGTCAGCGCAAGCGAGGAGGTTTAAAATAGTAGGAGAACAAAATTAATCATAATGTGGTACCTGAGCTTGTGCTGTGGAAAGATTAAACGTTCAAGTCGAAGAAAACGGCAACAGAGGATAACGCCAGAATGTTTTGACACATTCTCTTTTGTATTTCCCTTGGACCTGTTTTAATTTTTTTTTCGCACGCCAATCCCAAGTGTCACGTTATATTTAATTATCACCAGCTCGCTTGAACACTCACTGTTTTTTTTCATTAAGGATAGAACATTCCTCTATGATAGTGAAAGCGGCGCCAAATTCACAAGAGGGACCCCTAAATTTGGCTTCACTCCTGAAAATAACTACTCTATGGCTACTTGACTTTATCAAATATTCACCGCAGTTTTTGAAAATGGGTCATGCACCCTAGTACACCTGGACAATGCATACCAGTTAAAAAAAAATTACTGTATAAGGAAATGAAAGGGCATCATGAAAGATTGTGTTAAAATACTTGTACTTTACTTTGAAAGTACATTGTGTTTATAGTACTTTACTTAAGTACATTGCATCCAGCGTACTTACTACTTTACTTGAAGTACATCACGTCTAATTTACTTTATACTTTACCTAAAGTACCTTTTAGACGTACTTACCCAACACTGGAAAGAAACACTGTATGAAATTCGTAGAATGCGCATCTTCGGTCGTATACGAAATTCTAATGACATGCGGGAAAGGGAACGTGGGCCAAACGGGCAGATGCATTAATGAAAGGGCAAGAGAGCGCGCGCTATCAGTAAGGAATTCTCCCTCGGGCAATTTAGGTATTCACCGTGACAGATACCACTGCACCCCGGAATTGGAAAAAAACAAAAATTTTGGGAAAGCTAAAAACTCAAATCTCGAGAGAGCTGTACGAGACATTCAACATTAGATTGCATGGGGATGACAGATGCGTAAGTGTCAATCCATCTTACAAAGACGGAATTTGAATTCTTGGTTGAGAAGCACGACTGGGTGCATCATTTTGTGTGTTGTTTCAATGAACAATTAGTTGAAAGCAGTGCTTAGTGTTGTCTCCCTTACTCTGTCCCTGTCTTGCGGCGCATTTTGTCAAAAGAAATCATGCACCAACTGCCGCATCTTTCACTATTGATATCACATTGATATTTTTCTAGTGATAGGTCATCCACTTCTTTCTGACATGTCTTAAGATCGCTGGGATTTTTCTACGGTGCATAAATGTTGACATTCAGGTACTTCATTCTCACTTTTTTGTGATTGCCGATACGTAGACGTCATTTATAACCCGGACGTTCGGCGTAATATAGAAATATTGTTGACCTTTTTACAAACTAACTCTGCACAAAATATCTGCTTTTACCACGGAAAGGCCAAGACATGCGATCATTGCACTGGAGAGCCTGTAGTTTAGTGCAAAAGTTGTTTTTCCCATACTTTACGAGAAATTGATGTGCTGCAGCTAGTCCGTGACATTCTAGAAGTATTTCAATTTCACGAAGTTGAGTTTGCTAAAATGTAGTTAGAGATAAGCAGCTTTATTTTTCAGTTCATAACTCAGGAACATTATCCCGAATGCATACATTACAAGATAATATCATGCTCCAATATGCAGGATCTGCAAATAGGGTCTAATAATCACGAACATTTTCACGTATTAAAAAAACCCCAATACTCTCCCTCTTATACTTTTTTTTCGGCGTCTTTCAAGGGATCACTGAGCACTTCCCTTGCTGCGTAAGGTTTGGCATTTAGATATTACATTTACATAGAAAAGTCGAGTTTGCTGTGAGGGTTATAATACGCAGAGTTTGTATATATGTAAAAACATTTCTAGAAACTTAATATGCTACCTCTCGGTTCAGACATTTTAGAAGCGTTTCGAGCACTTGAAAAAGATCTGGATGAAATGTATTTTCTACCCTTAGCGTTGTTCATCCGAGCACGGCACACGAACCCTATTTGGTAAAATTAGACTAAAAATTAATACAGTGCTTAGACATTTTTCCCGTCCAAATGGTTATGCATAAAACCTTTGGCATATTTCAGGCCAGGTGCTGGCTCCTTTCGTTTTGTGGCGCATGGGGGTGATAATTTAGCCCTTGGCACGCTGTATAAATTTCGGTATTCAACTATAGCATGCTTACACGAAAGGTCACCCTCCTATAGAAGTCGTTATGTTGACGTCAAGAACTACCCGTGGGCATAACACAATAGGTTATTCCTTTTCTTTTCGGACAACCCGTGTGATATGTGAGCTTCCAAAGAGTTCAGGTCAAGAAACGGATAGTGAAAGGGCATGGAAAATATATATAAGGTCGGCTTTAGTATCTTGTTGTTGTTAGGCTGAACTGTGTTTGCTAGCAGTAGACTCAAAAAGCTTAGTCAGGTTTTCAGTCCCGTGAAAATGAATTTGCTTGAAGTTATTTTTCTATGCATAGCGTTGTTTATCAGTGTACATTCCACCAGCCCCTTTCCAGATGTTCCGTCTAAGTATGTAACTGATAAATGCAGAGAAAAAGCTACAGAATTTCATATATCAAGAGAAATGAGCCTTCCACTGTCGTACAACAGTGCACAATTTTGTATGTATCAAAATTTACAGGTGAGTGTTTGGAGATTATATTAAAATTAAAATTTTATTCTAGACCACGGATTACAGTTCTATATTAACTAAGGCAACATAAATCTTTACTTTGCCTAGATAGAAACGTCACATCAAATGTTCAATTGAGTTTAATGTCCCTGCAACAGAAGTGATCATCGTAGTTATAAAACCCCGAAACAAAAAATAAACAAAAATAAATAAAAAAGGACACCAGAACGATGCCTTACGCTTATTAGCGGTCAATCGTTGTACGCGTTGTCGTATATTAAATATTTTGTATTCTTGTCCTAAATTGCCATCATTGAGGTCAGGACCACTAGCTTTTTTGCATATCTTAGAGTGGGTGTCAAGATACTTTTCAGGTGCGGGATATGTTAAACATTTAAAATTGCCTATATCATTAATTGTGATTTTTTAGTAAGTGATCAGTAGAAATATGACAAATAAGGATTTCCCGTGATTACAATTTTAAACACAACAAAGCTTTACTGAGAAAAAAATATTTTGTAAACAATTAGGATTCGGCTTTTTCCTCAACCTAATATAAATTAGAGTAAAATCTAGAGAGTCAGGTAGACTAATCCAAAGTTATTAGGCTTAGAAATAGGAAGAAAAATACAGTTGATTACATCTTAAATCATTTTTTATTCATCTCATCAAAGTGTGCTATTGCTTCAGAGCTTCAAATAGCTAAAGCTCGAAACTGACGATGCAGGAAGCAAGCATTCAACGTTTAATTCCAACACCTACTCCTTCCTAGTTCCGTTCGTTCCCACATGTCTTCATGTATCACTACCACGTGATGACGTTAAAGACCTTCAGTCTTGCGATCCTGTACTGGTACATGTGGAGTGATAAATGAATTCTTCTCACGCTGCATGAATCTTGCCATTAAGATATTGCATTCTTAAACGAAAGATAACCTTTTCGGAAAAGTCAAAACGTTGACGTCATTATCTAGTTATGTAGCGTAAACACAGTTTTTATTTATATTCCTGCCATTTCTGCGCTATGCATACATCCAAAAAATTAAGGTGAAGACAAGCAGTTTTGAGGGGTGAGAAAAAAAAAATTTAACGCCAGCATTTGTACTCGTGTGTCCATTTTCACAAACGTCGAAATGTCATTGCTGATGAGTAGATTCACCGTAAAAACTGCGTTGAAAGATGTTCTCAAACAAAATGTGCGCACTAAGACATGACACATTTCACAGTACAGGTTAACTGGTTGACATGTGTGTCCATTTCAACAGGCGTGGACCTCATGAAAGGTCGTTGGTGAGTAGTATATTCCCTGCAAAATCTATGATGGTATGGGCCAGAGTTGGTAGCCATTTATTTTGCTAGCACAGTTCCAGCCTTCCTTTCCCTTGCTCTTGTGTTGGCGTGCACACTTTTGTCAATTAATCTTTAGCAAACATTCTTCAGCAAGATGTCAGTGCTGCACCACAGTACGTGTTTAAGGACAACCTTTTTTCTGCCCGTCTGCACATATATCGAAGTCGGATGAATTGTCACTGGTTAGGAGCTCCACAGTGAGGTTGGCGGCAAGTTGGCACTGGTTCGGCATTTGCAAGAACTCCGACTGCTTCGACAGTTGTGTAACAATGACGTAGCTGTTTGTAACCGCAGTAACGGCCAACAGTGTGGGGTGTACAACGCCCTACTCTGTCAAAGGCCATCACAAGATCATAGTGCTTTCTGGGATGGAAGCTGACAATTCCTTTTCACGCCTCAGCATGATCCTGCATAGGCCGCACTTCACCTTCTTCAACGTGGCATGAGTCGCTTAACCTGCCACGTAAACCAAGATAGGTAGTTTTATACCAGTCTTGTTGTCGCCGTTTCCATCACGTGAAGAGTAAGGCTGAGGTTGACGATTACAATGATCAACTATTTGATCTATGGTGGTGGGTTTTCAACGATCCGCACCAATATGAGTCAACTATTGCTTTCAATGGCTTGCCAGAATGCACACTGCTTGCACCTTATGTGGTCGGCAAGGTTCTCTGGGCTAAGAATCTTATCTTCTTGTTGGTCGTTCGCAAGCGTATCCATAGAGTTGGCCACAGCGGTTTCCACAACTCTTAAGTCGAGGGGCGTTCTTCGAGCCCCTGGGGCTTCTTTTGCTTGTGAGTGATCTGTTGAGAGGTAGCCAAGGCAGTTCCGAAACCTCCTCGGGACTGCCCCGTGGCATAAGTGTAGATGCTTTAATGGAACTGTGACATGGGACCATGTAGGATTTATACGTGTGACGACTCTGCAAAGATATCGCTCTTCGTGATGTTACGCTCGCACACAAGAAACAAAAAATTGGCCTTCACATAAGTGACACCAATTTGTGAGTACGTTTTTTGGCTCCCACGTGTTACATGAACTAGAGATGTCCCGATAATATATTCGAGCACGAACACTCGTTTGAGCATTTTTTTTCACTTACACGTCTTTTACGCGGATAGATGTGACAATTGAAAGAACACATGACAATTTCCTTTCGTGAACCTCCAAAACCAATACGTAGTTCGTTTATCTTCTGATTATTTTGGGTCTTCGCGAATATGTGTTCTTTTTCCTTTACGAGTCGGCACATAAAGTAATAACTCATGTGGATGAAAGATTGCGTTTTTTGTTTTTGTTTTTTTGACAACTCTGCACATAACGTAACAACTCCTCTGCACAAAGTCTTGTGTTCTATTTTCTGTGCACGCTAGGCTCCAAATGTCAACACATGTGAGAATATATTTTTGGCGCGTTAGACTCCGAAACTATAAATTTCTATCTAATCTTTCTTTTTTTTTTCGCTAAACATCACTTGTAATTTTTACCTTGTGTGTACATAAAACTGCAAAGTTCCAACTAATTGTTTTTTGTCTGTGTGTAATTTTCTTGGTGAAAAAAATGACCTGTGGGAAGTATTTTCTTTTATGCACGTGAGACTGCGAATTTCGACCTGTTTAACTTTTAATGCTGCGTTGGGGGGAACGTAGCACTGTAAATTGTGACCCTCATCAAAGCTTTTGCGTGTGGGAATTGTTTGCGTGCGAGATTTTACTTATGAAAGGTATTTTTTGTGCACATGAGGCTCCGAATTTCGACTGGTTTTACTTTTAACGCGGGGTATGGTCCCCAAACCCCCTGCTGGGTTTGATGAGACCCGATAATACACTTGGAGATAACGGTATTTTAGAGCGCAGCTCTTAGGCGTCCGTTTCCAGGTTGAGCGGCGTCGCTGTCGGCGTAACTGCGGGCGTTGCATTATGGAACGTTTCTTCGCTAAAGTTAGCGGTGAAAGTTTCTCGCTAAATTTAGCGAGAAGATCACTACGTTGTGACGTCATTTTCCCTGATAATTTTAGCGGGGAAACTGAATTGGTGTTCAGGTCACGTTACGTCAATTTCTCCGCTCAATTTAGCGGAACAATTTACCGGGTACCATTAGTGGGGAACGTTTTCCCGCTAAATTTAACGGAAACTGACATCACGTGACTTCGACACTAATTCAGTTTCCCCGCTAGATTTAGCGGGGAAATGACGTCACAACTTCATGTCACGTCACCCATGAACGAATTTAGTGAAAGTAGGAGAGGAGGAGGAGGGAGGTAGGGGAAGGAGGGGAGGGTACAAAAGAGGAGCAGGGGCACACCTTCCCCTCCTCCTCCTCAAAAGCAGTGCTTTAGTTTCGCATTACAGAGATTTGTAAACGTCTGTAATTTTTTTTATTAAATTATTAATATTATTATTTTTATTTGTGATAATAATACTTTCCCTACTTTCCTGGCATGTTTTAAGAAACGTTGAAGCCCGTTACACAAAAAACGACCAGCCACCATCACATCTCTTTTTCGAACCGGCCGTGCCGCCGCCCTACAAGTGTCCGTTCGGCACCGCTTCCTCGGTTCAACTACGTCTTCATCTAAGCAAACATCTGCTGCCCATCTGGAGGCCACTGGGTCCGTTGTCTAGATTCCTCAGACACACCCACCGGTGTCTAAGAAGCTAGGCAGCCAGTCACGCACTCTGCAATAACTGTTGTTTTATTTTGCGGGTGAGCTGTAATTGTTTCTTCTATTGACATTTTGGCTAGATTCAGTCTTTCGCCTTTACCGTCAACTTCTTTTTCCTTGTTAAAGTAGATACCGTGGCTGTGCTTTGTGCCATTTGCTCCGAATATGTGCCGATAGACGGCCATTTTATCAAGTGTGGTGACTGCACAAAAGTGTTTCACCTAGGAGAGACGTGCTCCGGTATATCTGAGAGCACCTTTAAGGGTATGAGAGCTTCAAAGATTGAGAAGTGGTGCTGTCTTGGGTGCCGAGGTGGGCCGATGTAATCTAATTCTGAAAGCGAGCTCACACCACATCAAAGTGAACCCGATACTTTCTGCTCACAGCTCTCAAGAGCCAACCACAAACTAGACATCCTACTTTTCTGGAAATGCGCAATGGGTTCTCTTCACGAACTCTACCCCATGGTAGACGCTTTATTAATACTAAAGGAGACGGTCGACTTTGTGCGAACCACCATCACTGAGGTGCAGACGCCTCTTAATTTCTGTTCAAAGTAATATGATACACTTGTGAAGTCCAATCAATCACAAGGAAAACTCATCAAAGATCTTCAGGGTGAACGAGCTCATTACAAGCGCTCGTAACAAAGCAAACCAATGAAATCCAACCATTAAAATCCGCCCAATATTGCTAAGATCAAGCACACCATCTCTCTAACTTAGAGATACAAAATGTGCCGGTCTTGACTCATGAGAACATTGTACATATTGTGACTGGCCTAGCCGAACAACTAAGCGTTGAGTGCTTTGAGCCCGCACAAGTAGGGGCTGCTCACCACCTCCCGGCTAAACCTGGCGCTGTGCCTCCCATCCTGGTTCGATTCAGTTCAGTCTGGCACAAAGAACGCTGGATGACCTGTCGTAAACGCCTCAGCTCTTTGCCTAGTGATAATTCCCATCCAAGTATATGTTTCAATGACAACCTCACAGAAG